CGTGTCATTTATATACAGGTAAGTTGGAAAAATAAATGATACAGTTTCCGGATAGACTAATTCGGGATAAACATGCAATCTCTTCAACTCAAAGTCCACAAAAGAAGACAAAATGAAGTTGTTTATACAAAAGTTATGATACTTAATTTTTAACACACAGACCTCTCAGTTCCCAAGATCATTAGCGGCATAACCTTTTCCCTTTTGTTTATTATTCTTCTTCCGGGTTATTATCCTTTTTTCGTTTATGCTTGTGTTCTACACATTATTTGCATGTCGGTGGCCCATAAACATTGTTTAAACCCCTCTAACTATTAAGAACATCATTTATCATGTCCTCCTCCTCCTTTTGCAGGGATCCTGTTTAAAGGATGGCGATTTGGCACGAGCACGCATGAATGAGGCTGAGGCCTGTTTTATATTGGCCGCACGCAATTATGCCGATAAGACTGCTGCCGATGAACACACAATCTTACGTTCGTGGGCTGTTAAAGATTTTGCCCCCAATGTTCCGCAATATGTGCAAATATTCAGGTAAGTTATCAGCATTCAGTCTGGGCTCCCTGGCCTTCCTGGAACTTCAGCTCCTGTCATTTGTTAGTTGTTGAGCACATTCTCTGCGAAAACAAAAACAAAGAATGTGGCCAACTAAAACAAAACTGAAAAAAGAAGAAGAGAAAACCTATTATCTATGTATGTTAGTGTGTGTATGTGTATGTTTAACCAGCCATTGTTGTTGTTTGATACCATTGTTTCTTCTGTTGTTGTTGTCTTCTCCCCCTTCCATAGACCTGAACATAAGCTTCATGTTAAATTCGCTGAACATGTCGTGTGTGAGGACGAATTTAAATATGCTTTGTTGGCTAATAACTGTACATGTCCTGGTGCCAGTACCCTGGTGACATTATTGTTGCATACATCACGGGGCCAGTAAGTATACAAAATGAAATGAATGCATCCGAACGAAACTCAGTACATTGTTACAGAATCTAACAGACACATACATACTTACATGCATACATATGAATTACTAACAACAATAACAAAAAATAACAACAGCTGATCCGGTAATAACGTGAGCAATACAGTGTGAACAATGGTCTATTGGATTAGGATAAATTAAATTTAAAGATCAAAAGGTATTCTCATAGAAGATTTTAGGTCTTCAGTGTGAAGACATTTGGTCCTACATATAAAAAATGCGTCTTCTATAAGAAGTCCACTTGGCTTCTTTAAGAATACCCTTTGATTCTATAAGAAGACCTCTTGGTTATATTATATGAAAACTTATTGTGCTTCTACAAACAGATCTCTTAGACTTCTAGGAGACTTCTTATAGAAGACCTCTTGATTTTCTATTAGAAGACGTATTGGACTTCTATAAGAGCTCTTAGTCTTCTATAAAAAGAACCATTGGTCTTCTATAAGAAAACTTATTTGTCTTGTATAAGAAGACCCCTTAGACATCTATAAGAAAACCTCTTGGTCTTCTATATGAAGACTTCTTGGTCTTCTATATGAAGACTTCTTGGTCTTCTATATGAAGACCTCTTGGTTTTCTATATGAAGATCTCTTGGTAAAACGACTTCCTGGGCTTCCTAGAAAAGACCTCTCAAATTGTGTGAAAACGACGATTTTTATTATTTGAAAACTTTATTATTTTAAGAGAGTCCGGAACTTTTGACCTTCTCCATGCGATTTTCAGTTACATGATTTAATAGATGGCGCTATGTGTATGCCATGGCCAATGTTGCGGACCCACAATAAAATGAACGGTCTTTTGATAAATTTTAAATGTTAAGGCATATGTTAAGGCGCTTTACAGGATGGGATTGAATGAAAATCGTTAGTCTTAAAGGATATGGATTTGATAGTGTAGTTGGTTTCACATAAATCTATGACACCAATGACCTTTTCAAAGGGTACTGCAAGTGTCAACTGCTGTTACGAGTTTTCACATTTTGTCCTATAAAACAATCCTCCTTCCTCTATCTAATTTTGATTATGATTTACCAGGTCTTCTTCTCCAAGAAGACCAATTGAAGATTTTTTAAACTGTTCTTCTTATAGAAGATCTCTTGGTAACCTTATAGAGAACCTCTTGGGCTTCTTAAAAAATTCTCTTAAATTGTGTGAAACGTCGATTTGTATCCTTAAAAAACTGTATGATTTTAAGAGAGTCCGAGACTTTTTAGACTTCACCATGCAATTTTCAATCTTATGGTTCAATAGATGGCGCTGTCCGCATGCCTTTGCCAGCATTGCCAACCAACAATCAAATGAACGGTCTTTTGAGAAGATTTAAATTTTAAAGCATATTTTTAGTCGCTTCATAATATAACAACGAAGGAAATTGATTTGGCTTTAAGGATAAGGAATGATTGATAGACTTGTTGGTTTCACATAAATCTATTGCACCAATCATCCTTTTAAAGGGTTATGCAAGTGTCAACAGCTGTTACTAGACATAAAACGTACCCGGTTCAATAGTTCAAAAATTATGTCATCTATAAAAATACCTCTTTTATATGGTCTTCCATAACAATGCCTCTTAGTCTTCTACAATAATACCTCTTGGTAGTCTATTAGAAGACCTCTTGAAGGTCTTCATGCACTTTTCAGCCTTCACCATACGTTTTTGAATCATTTGATTCAATAGATGGAGCTATCCGTATGTCCTTGTCAATGCTGTCAACCCACAATAAATTGAACGGTCTTTTGAAAAAGAATTAAATTTTAAAGCATATTTTTAGTCGCTTCGAAAGTTAACGATAAAAGAAATTGATTACGATTAAAACTTCAATAGATGGCGCTGTGGTCGTAATTAGGAGAATTCAAAATAAAGCGAAAACTTGTGTTTACCAAAATCTTCGAAATGTTGGGAGATATTTAAAATCGGTCTACATTTTATAACAAAATATGTATTTGCTTTAATTTTTTTTTTTTTGATTGAAAAAGAATACATTATAGAAATTTTAAATAGAACATACATTTAGGCAGAACATGAGAGCTGCTATATATAGAGTGGCGCCATCAAACATTTCCATTGGAAAATTTGAAATTTGTTTGCATAAACTTACCCAGTATGGTTCAATAGTTCAAAAATTATGTCAAAGAGAAAACGAAATTAAAATTTTGCATTTGCATATTTGAACCATGCCAATCAATAGATGGCGCTGACAATGAGCCAATGTCTAGCAATGGTCCATCGCCAGTGCCATCTATTGATTTTCAAGATTTAAATTGGCAAATACAATAATTTAATGTAAGTTCTTGAAATGTAGAAAATAAGAACGAAAAAATGCACAAGTACTCGAGTTTGCAGTAGAATATATTTAAAAAAAATATTAGTAATGACCTCTTGGTCTCTTTTTCCCTATTACGAATTCTCAGGCAATGGTCCGTCGCCAGCGCCATCTATTGATTGGCATGTTTCAAATTGGCAAATACAATCATTAACTGTATAATTTTGAAATATAGAAAATAAAGTCGAAAAGGATACATAAGAACTACAGATAGAAGGAGGATATCTTTTACAAAAATATTAGTAATGACCTCTTGGTCTCTTTTTTCCCTTCAAATGAATTCTCAGGCTCTTTTACTATAAATGGGATTTTGATACCACATTTATTTAAAATTCCAATTTATCCCCAAGCATTACAAACCCCAAATTTGTGTATGATCTCCCCCAGGTTACCCACTGTTAATGCATTTTAAGTGAACATTAATGCAAAAAAACCACCACAATCCTGTGGACTACATTAATGGTAACAACATTGCAGCCACATAAATTCAGTTATTTGCCAAAAGCAACACAGATAGTGGAGCTGCTGGTGGAAAGTAAAAACACACACTCACATTGTGGCTCTAGAGTTGAGTGGTGTGTATGGTGGCATTATGGAAATTAGCTAATGTTTTATGCAGGCCACCAAAACTAGTAGCAGCAAAATTACTCTACTGGGATATGTGGCGGGACTTTAAAGGATAATGGCCAGAGGAAGCATGACACAATACATCATTTGTTTAATCGCATTTTTTCTTTGGGGGGAACTTTTCCAAAAACCACGCCTATTGACATTTCACAGTCACTCCTTTCGAGCAGATGGGGCTTTTTTACAATAATAATTGTTTACATTATTAATTAATTTGATTACCCTTCAGTCTATTGTGGCATAATTTTTGTGGTTGTTGTTTACCTTCGCCTGTGTTTTTTTTTTAATTAAGGGGAGTCTCCTTTCATTGGTGGGCCACTTAATATTGAATGCCTTCGTAATTACCACTTTTTTGATAAATTGGTTTTTTGCTTGGTAAATATTTACATAATTTATGTCAATATCTAAAATGTATAAATGACCTTTGGCCATGAATAAATATTATTATGTTTACTGGTAATTGGTTAATTAAATTTTCTACACAAATAAAAACAAATACCATTTAACAATGGTAAATATGGCATTTGTTACGGTGAAAAAGGGAAAATAATTGATATTCGATATTAACTATGAATTGAATATTGGTAGTCTAAAACAAACAAAGGTATGGGTTAATTGAAAGGAATGCTATTTTTCAATATTGCTCATGATAGGTAATACTATCATATTTAACCCGTTTGCTCAACTAGTACATAGAATTAAATAATTTTCAAATTCAATTGTTTTCGATAACGAATATTTTCGCCTTTAGAACCAAGACATTCATAATTTTTCTAAGGCATTTGTAGAAAAATTGAAACAAGAGCCACATTTTGGGTTCCTTCTCAGTTTATTTTTATTTTCTACTACCTTCTCTTAAAAATTATCAAATCTCACAATTGATTAAGCTGGGTCTGAAAGGGTTATTTATATTTTTGGTACTAGGTGGCGTATGATTGCTAACAACAGTCATACGCAGATATGTTGCTTAATCGTTCAAATATTGTGAATACGGTTTAAGTTATTTTCGAACAAGAAAATATAAACAAATTAGGCAAAGTTTCTTTGTGATGAGAGGCTATCCTTATGTCGAAAATAGGAAATAAACTCAGAAAAGCTAAATATATATTTGTCATACAAGTAGTAATCGTTTTACGTTGCACAATAATTCTATAAAACATGACTAGACGGCGTATTATTATTGACATCAGTCATTCCCTTTTAAATATTGCACAGAAAGTAAACACAGCTTAAGTTATTCCTGAACTCAAGAATATGATTATAGAAGATCTAGACATAGACAGAGATATGTGTTGAAAAATATTCTTGTGACAATGAGCAAAACTTTCACATTTGTTCAAACTAGAAGTGTTCTTTTCGATTTGGATCTTCAGGTCTTTGATTTCAACAGTTGTGGTACCATGGTGCGTATGAGAAATGAACAAATGTATACGACCCCTATCCTATACATGGGTTATGATTAAAACTATTATTTTAATGTCTATTGCGGGACCATAACCCATAATTCGATTCCTTAATATTTATTTAGTAAGCATATTTCCCAATTTGTACCAAATATAGTACAATTTAGTACTTTTCATACACATATGTACATATTTCCTACTACCTACTTTCTACACATCTCGATCCTACACTCTAACGTTTCTCAAAATTCAAATGGTACCAAATTTAGTACTTTTCGGATACACACTTCCAAAATCACCTTCGTTTATCGTTGCAACTTTTCAATGTTTTATCCATATCCATTTACATGCTACGAAATTGTACCAAATTTAGTACAGTTTAGTACTTTTCGGGTACTTATAGTTCGAACGTTCCAATCCTACACTCTGAGGGTTTCAGATTTCATGATGCCAGGTCCATCCGTTTCTCAAAATTCAAATGGTACCAAATTTAGTACTGTTTATTACTTTTCATATACACACTTCCAAAATCACATCCGTTCCAACTTCTCACCCTTGGTTCGCATCCAAATTTCAATTTTTTATCCATATCCATTTACATGCCAAATTTAGCACATGTTAGTACTTTTCGGGTATTTTTAGTTCGAAAGTATCCATTGATACATCTATTCTATACTCCGTCAGTGATCCTCATTCCAAATATAAGAGTTGCCGCTCCACCGATTCGCCAAATAAAAATGGTACCATATTTAGTACTTTTTGTGACGTTCTAGTACGAAAATTGCAGCCCTATCTGACACCTTCGGACAAAAAGTTACCCTCACCAAAAATTTCAAGATTATAGCTTCAGCTACTTTTTCAAGCTTCTTGCCTTGGTACTTCTTTTTTCTATAGAAAAAATTAACCTCCCTTCTTTGGTGCTTCTTTTTTTCTATAGAAAAAATCCAAGCTCAGTTCCTGAGGTATTTTTCTCAATAGAAAAAAATAATGAAGCTATATATTATACTAAAACCATTTAATATCATTCTCTCATAATATTTCAAAATATTAATATTTGTTCACCTAATAACCTCTCCTCACATCTAGGGAGGGTCAGCAATCACCCGAAGAATGGCATCGTTTATATGGCAAATGTTCGGGTAATGAAATCTATCACATCGTTTTGGGTGATAGTCGTTTCTTTGGCGAATATGAGGGTAAAAGTTTTACCTATGCCAGTTTTCATTCACATCGAAAGTAAGTCCAAAAAAATCCCATTCAAACCTTTTAAGTTCAATAAACTGCATTTCGAATCTATCCCTTTTTTCCAGATACGGCGTGGCCTTGGTGGGTGTGCGTCCAGCTCATTTGCCCGAATTCTACGAGGATACGATATTGTTAAATCCCGGTCCTAGGCATATCATGAAAAAGGATGACACCTGCTATTACATGAGCATTACCAAGGAGGAGAACTCTGCATTTGTGGTTAATCAAAATCAGCAAAATCAAAATGCGGATACAATGGCGGGCAAGGAAAATGGTAAGTTAAGGCTGCACTTATATTTGAAATCCAAAAAAACCGAAACTTGTTTTTGCCATGAATATTTGTTTTTGGTTTACGGTTTGAGTTGGGTTCCCCTTTTACGTTTTCCTTTTTCGGTTTTGGTTTTATGTGGTTCCATTCTTTTGTGTTCCTGTTTTAACAATATTTCCAATATATGGAATATATAATGAAAATTATAAAAGAAATGAAATTGAAAAAAGAGAAAAAGATAAACTAACAATTAGGCAATACCAAATGTTTGTTATCCTTTTTTACTCTGCTATTCTACAAATAACTGCTACTCTATATGAACGTTACTTAATAATCATCATAATATGCTTTTGTGCTGTATTTATGTGTATTGTATGTGCGTGTGAGTATATGTGAGACTGTGTGATGAAAGTGTGTGTGAATCCGATGTTAAGCGTGATTTTTTTAGTTTGAAATAATATTTATTTTAAGTTCTAACTGCCATACCAACACATTCAATTTTATGTATATACCAATTTAAAACTTAAATCATGGTTCTATTTATAATTCATTGGGCCTCCTTAATTGTCTCTTCAAAAATTTTCATCCCCATAATTTTGAAAATTAGTGGACCATATTGAGCAATCACTCGAAATACCAGCTGAGTAAATGCAGCCAAATGCATTCATCCTTGACAGACCATCATCATCATAACATGACGATGGTCGTTTGTTTGTCCTGTATTTTTTCATGGCTGATGATTAAAAGATGAAAATTAAAGACATAATCAGATTTTCTCCCACCAACATTACCTCCTTGATGTCCGCTCTCAGTTTCCCAGCCATACTTTACGATTGTAATTCGTTAAAGTTATTTGCATACCCTGAAAGCAAAAACAAAATCCTTGAAATCGTAAAATTCTCCTCCACCAGTAAATTCATTTTTATGACTCAATCATTAGTGTCTCTGGTTGGATGTGTGTGTGAGTGCACGCTCAGGTTGCCCTCTCACCCCTCCTCCACCAATCAAACATTAAAATGCAACTATCACAAATTCCCACAAGAATCTCAGCTGAAGTTATTATGGTCAATCGTAAAAGAAGATCCACAAAAAAAGAACAGAGCTCTTATTTGTCTAACAAAGGAGTCGTAAAGGAAACGACAAACCGAAATGTCCTCGAACAAAGAATGATAAAAATCTACAAAAAGGAACAGACATTGTCCTTGTTAACAATGGGGGGAAATTTAAAATAGGAATTTTTCTGTTGAAAAGAACTGATGTTGAATTTTTTCTACAAAAAAATCGCATCCTAATCCTAGAAGTGAAAATAACCCATCCTCATTTCCTGAGAAATTTTTACATCAGATCCTAAGCTACATTTTTTCAATAGAAAAATTTCCACCTCAGCTCCTGAGGTATATTTTCCTATAGAAAATTTTCCACCTAAGTTCTTGAGGTCTGTTTTTTCTATAGAAAAAAATTCAACCTCAGCTCCTGAGGACTTTTTTTCTATAGAAAAATTCAACCTCAGTTTCTGAGGTCTTTTTTCTATAGAAAAAATTCAACCTCAGTTTCAACCTCAGTTTCAACCTCAGTTTCAACCTCAGTTTCTGAGGTCTTTTTTTCTATAGAAAAAAATTCAACCTCAGTTTCTGAGGTCTTTTTTTTCTATAGAAAAAAATTCAACCTCAGTTTCTGAGGTCTTTTTTTCTATAGAAAAAAATTCAACCTCAGTTTCTGAGGTCTTTTTTTTCTATAGAAAAAAATTCAACCTCAGTTTCTGAGGTCTTTTTTTTTCTATAGAAAAAAATTCAACCTCAGTTTCTGAGGTCTTTTTTTCTATAGAAAAAAATTCAACCTCAGTTCCTGAGGTCTTTTTTCTATAGAAAAAAATTCAACCTCAGTTCCTGAGGTCTTTTTTCTATAGAAAAAAATTCAACCTCAGTTCCTGAGGTCTTTTTTCTATAGAAAAAAATTCAACCTCAGTTCAAGTTTTTTTCTATAGAAAAAAATTCAACCTCAGTTCAAGTTTTTTTCTATAGAAAAAAATTCAACCTCAGTTCCTGAGGTCTTTTTTCTATAAAAAAAATTCAACCTCAGTTCCTGAGGTCTTTTTTCTATAAGAAAAATTCATCCTCAGTTTCTGAGGTATTTTTTCTATAAGAAAAATTCATCCTCAGTTCCTGACTCTCTATTTAGTAGAAAAAATTGCTTAGGTTAATACTGGAACCTTCGTGGGTAGTGAGAATATATACCTCTACTTAAATTAAATTCTTAGGTCCAACTAAATATTATAAATATCTTTACACACACACTTACACATTTATTATTTTATTTGCTTAGCAAATATCTCGCATCAATATTACGATTATGATTGATTTGATAATATTCCGAAAACTGATTTTTGTTCCTTTGGCATTATTTGTTTAACGCATTTTTCTTCGTTATATTTTTATTTGCCAAAAATCAACAAAAATTTTAAATTAATAATCTAATAAACTAACAACAACAACTACAATCACAAATACTAACAGATAACAACACCAACAACATAACCACTAACACAACAAATAATCAAAGAATCATAACAACAATAACAGCAATAGCAACCACATATAACAACACCAACAATCATAATAGTAGTAATAGCAATAACAACAACAATACCAACAACAATCACTACAACAATGATAACGATAGTTTATATAGTAATATTAGTACGATAACAACTACAATACCAACAATAGCAACTACTACCACAACAACAACAACAAATCTTTTAACAACAACAACAACATCTATAAATGCAATAACAAGCAATCTTTGTCAATATGTTAATCCAACAATAATAACAAGTACTACAACTACAACAACATCCATTAATACAGCAACAACAACAACATCAACATCATTATCATCGCACACGGTCCCCATACCATCCGTCTGTGTACGTGTGCCCCATAGTCTTAGTTACGATGCGGTATTGGTGGGTGGTGGTCAAAACGAATCGACTGTCGCCGTCAATGCTGCCGCGACCACAACCACCAACATCACCTCGAAATCTACCACCACCACCACCACGACCACAATGAACAACACCACTACCATCACCATGAATATGCCGATAATAGAACGGCATAGCTCCGAATGTGATTTTACAACACTATTTGTGCGTGAGTGTGACACCGAAAAATTATACATTTCGTTTTCTTTTTCATTCTCCCCCCACCCCATGGCATTATCCCCCCTTTGATAATGGATAAAAATAGTCTCCTTTAAAATGTTGCTAAAATTTAATAGTCCTGCAAAGATTATTTTTTCGCTCCCAAAAGTAGTCGATTTTTTTGCCTTGTTTTTGAAAAATAACTCCCCCCTCCTACAAAGTAGAGTTGCTCCCCCTTTCGTACCCATTTTGAAAATCACATCCTCTAGGTTTTGGTAGTTGACCCCACATTTCATAATGTTTATTATCTTATTGTCATAGATGAAGTTCAGAAGGCATCAGCATCCCCATGCCACAATTTTCATTAATTCATTTTTCAATACATTTTTAAAACACTGTGCAGTAATGGTCACAATTTTATATCGAACATGGTTATAAGGATTTTTGGCATAATAAATATCGGTATTACATAGCTAATGATACAACCTAGTGAGTAATCCTTGTTGATCATTATAACCATGTTCGACTTATATCCTTAGAATGAAAATTTTAACATACGTGTATAATATTTGTTTCCAATACTATGCATGCTTCATTTAAATCATTGGATATATTAGTTTTATTTATGTTTTTTTTCAAATATTTGGATTATTTAAATTGCAATCAAAGAAAGCTAAAAATTAGAGTTTATTTTATTATACCAAATTTTTTTAGAAAATACTTTCGGAACTGCGGTTCAATTTTTTGTATAGAAAATATCCTCAGATACTGAGTTTTTTATCTATAGTAACGGAAATTTGGGTTGAATTTTTAGGGAAAACACCCCAGGATTTTTTAAAGAAATAATCATCCTTTCGTTATGTACCGGGTAATCTATTCTATGGATCATGTCTAACAAAACCAACCTTGTTTGAAACATATTTTCTGAGTTTTTTGTTATAAAAAACAAATACTATTTCCTAAAGAAAAAAAATTAGAATTAACCTCTTTTCAATAGAAAAATTGAAAAAAGTCATCCTAATATCCTGAAATTTGGTTTAAAAGGAAAAATATTTGCAGTTTGTTTGAAATAATTGCCGAAGAAATTCTTTGGTCTCTAGGACGTCCATTCGAACCTATAAGGTGTACGTAGAAAAATATTAAAAAAATATGTATATGTAAATGCAATTTACGTTGTAGGGTATTTTTCTATAGAAGTTTTTAACAAAAATTTCTGACCGTATATTCCTGCAAATTGATTTCTTAAAAATGTAGAGGATTGCATTTTTCTATAGAAAAAATGCAATCTCAGTTTCAGTATTTTTATACCCTTTATCACACTGTGGTACAATGTATTTTGTCTTTGTGCATATGTATGTAACAGACAAAAGGAAACGAGATAGACACATGGTTCCTTTTGAGAATATGCATATAATCACTTTCTGAGTCGATTTATGCATGTCCGTCCGTCTGTCTGTCCATGTTAAAGTGCAGATCGCATTTATTATCCGAATTGGATGAAATTTGGCACAGCTCATTTATTTGGCCCAGGGACGAACCCTTTTTGAATTGGGAAAATCGGTTCAGATTTAGATATATATATATATATATATTCGTCCGATTTTTAGCAAATGGAGCACCAAAGAGTCAAATTTAGTCCTATTGGCACAAAATTTTGCACAACATACTAAAGTTGATGTAGCCTAACGTGTGCCAAGTTTTATTGAAATCGGTTCAGATTTAGATATAGCTCCCATATATATTTTCGTCCGATTTTTAGCAAATGGGGCACCAAAGAGTCACATTTAATCCGATTGGCATGAAATTTTTCACAAAGTACTGAAGTTATGATAGCCTAAAATATTCCAACAGACAGACGCACATGCTTAAATCGTCATAGAATTTTACGCTGATCAAAAATATATATTTTATAGGGTTGGAAATGATTGTTTCAATGAATTAATTAAGTCGGTTCACATATATACACAGACCATATATTTAAAGTAATCTACTTGCATGTCAATGGTCCTTCAAAAATGCGAGGTCTGTTAGGATGCATCTCTTGAATATAGCCAAAGTGGTAAAGGGTATCATATAGTCCGCCCCGTCCGACTTTACTTCTTTCCTTACTGGTTTTCTATTGAAAAAGTTTAAAAACAGATTCAAAACAGTAAGCGGAGCAGTATAGTCGGACGGGGCCGACCATAGGATACCCTACACAACTACCACGAAAAGCAAACTTTCTGCGGTTCTATATTCTGAGCCTGGGCAATATTTCGTGATATTTGCACTTATTTATATTTGGTCACTTTAGGTTTTTGTTAATTTGACCCTCGGAATATTGACCGATCATCATCTAAACAGCCGATCTAAGTATTTGGTCAGATCACCCTCACCTTGTAAAATATGTGATGTTCTGCTATAATAATTGAAATCGATCAGCGCGACATTTCCGTCCTCTAATGGAGTAATGGTAATACTAGGCACATAGTCACCTTTACCTAATTACGGATAACTCCCACATCAGAGTACATACAGCCATATAATTGGTATTATTTTGAAGTTCAACAACTCCTCTTGGATATACTATCAACTTTTCGGGTATATGTCCTTCAGGAGCAAGTATATATGCCCCAGAATAAAGATTTTGTAATTTCTTTGTTGTATTAGTTCGGCTGTAGGCTTTTTTTAAGTAAAAATCGTTTTTAATTTTGATTTTTAATATTTATTGTTTCCAATATTTCGATTGAATTTTCCAATCATCCTCAGAAAACTACAATTACATATATTTTAACAGATTTTGAAACAACAATAACAATATGTAAATAAACTTACTTGAAGAAAGTTATGTTGTCTTTAAGTCAACGTTCTTGCTTCAACTAAAGTCTAACAGATTTGTATTTGTTTACTGTGTGTCTATAGATTTGAGCGCAGTTGTCTGTGTCGGTTTTATAATTGAGTCGAGTGTCAAGTGGAGTGTTGATTATGTGCAACATCTCAAGAGTAAACCTTTTTTGATAATTACTTTCTTGAGTTAGAATTTTTATGTCAATAAAATCTGGGGTATGTCCTGCTTTTGTGCAGTGTGCTGCAAGGGCTGTTTTTGCTCTATGGGTTTGTACGGAGCTTTTTGATCCGATTAGTGCCAACATATACCTTTTGGCATACGTTTTTTTGTAATTTTCATTGGCCAGAACCCATCCCATATGCAAAATTTCGTGAAGATTGGTCCATAACTGTGGCCTGTATCGTGTTTACAAATTACAATGGACAGACGGACGGACACACATGTCTAGATCGACTCAGCTAGTTTTATAGCTGATAATATATAACTATGAATATAATCATAGTTGTGTAGGGTATAAATATTAAAAAAAAATATGTATAGAAAAAAATGCAATTTATGTTTTAAAGGATTTTTTCCTATAAAAAAATTACACTCAAATCCTGAGGTATTCTATAGAAATAATTATTAAGGAGCTTTTAGCAAAAACTTCGGACCATATATTCCTGCCAGTAAGCATTTCAACCTAATTTGAACAAGATAATAATTCCAGAAAATAATTCCTTCGGAATGTTTTCTGAGATAGTTTTCAGCTATTGTACTCAAAAAATGCCTTCTCCAAACCGAAGAAGTTCCTTAAATAATTTAAATACAAAAAATTGTAATTTTATGTACTACCTATTTCAGCAGGTCTTCTATAGTTAGAAATTCTACAGTAGTGATGGGCAAGAATCCGAACTGGTGTCCCTGTTTGCATGGATCAATATGCTCGTTCTCTGCGTTCTCTTTTAGTAAACATTTCATATGGCCGTTTCTCATTTAATCTTCAAGCATTTTCCTTCTGCACACCTCTATTCTACAGTTATATTAGAAGTCTTCTATAGAAAAAATACGTTCTCTTTGTCTCTTATACGAAAACGATTTTTGTGAACCATTTCCAGGTATTTATTTGTCTAAAAAATGACTCCTATATACAGAAGAATTTCCCGGGTCTTTTCTTTGCCTGCCCTTTGGACATAAGACCTTTTAAATAAAATATACACCTCTGACCTTCACCAGGTCTTACATATTACAAAAATCTTCTATATAAACAATACATAATCCAGACTTAACCCTTCTATCTGCATTCTACAAAGAAATTACCTTTTCGATTAGAGCGATTCAACAAATTGTCTATAGAGATAAAATATTTTTTAGATTTTCCATAGACATAAGACATTCTGCTCTAGATATTCTATAGACGACGGGGTTTATTACAAAACTATAAACATCTCAGATCTTCCATAAACTGAGAACTACTTTTCATATCATCTGCATACTGCAGGAATTTTAGAATATTTTTATATGGTCAAACATTTTTTTGAGGTTTTGTAGCCTTTATAATATTTTGTAATCATATTATAGTCAACAAAAGTTAGTTTTTTTATTTTTATCATTATCGTTTTTTTTATGCTCATATCTAAATGTTTTCTTGTTTTCTTTTACATTTCCGTTACAATGTTGTGCATGTTGTCATTTCCGTCTGACCTTTATGTGTTAGCCTAGCCATCCGGTTGCGAACAAAAGTAGAGTACGTTTACGATTTGTTGTTGTTTGTAAAGGTCTCTCAAATGTAAAATGATGTAGATAAGAATAGTTCTTAGCATAGATTTTTATTACATTTAATTAAATAGAAAAACAAAATGAAACACTTTGGATACCCTACATAATTCCCCCCTAAACGTGAGGATCCGAGACTTTCAATTGGACAATATTTTGTTAACAGAACTATTTTGATTATCTTAGAAATTTTCGAATAATTCGGCATCTAATATAAATTAGCTTATGCCGGACCATGTTGTGTGGACCATGTTGGTTATCTCGACTGTCTATATATTAATTATAATGGAGAGTTAGAAGGATGAACTCAAAAACTACATTAAGTCTGCTCGTCGTAATGTGATTTATCAAAAAAAGTTGTCAAGGAGTCGATTTGTGTATTTTTTTAGAAAGAAATTTTAATCTACGAAGATTAAAGTGGAACTTTTCATGGCCACCATCATTTAAGCTATGTATTAGTACTCCAAGACGAACCTATTGCTTATGATATAATCATCTGGACTCAGTACAAACATATAATGCCATCAACAGATATGCAAGTCCTGAAGAAGAAAAAAAAATATTGAAAAAACAGTGGATCTTTTTATGAATTAAATTTTGTAATTTTAGCAAATAATTCTATATATTTTTTTTACATTAAGTCGACTCAGTCCTTTTTACATTATAACATGTTTTTATATACTCGTACATATATTTTAAAATTAAAATTCCTAAAAATGTAATCTTATTAGCAGTTGAAACCCTTATAGCACTTAGTTTAATTAAAAATAATTATCTTCAATTCTTTCACAAACACACACACACACACACACACATTCCCAACCTTTGTGGTTGACACTCCCCTCCCACACAATTTTCATTTATCACCCCTAAACAAGAACTACAACAACAGCAACCCTAATGAGCACCACAACAAATTCTTTCAAAAATAAATGAATATAAAATGTGTTTGTGCTTTTTTCGCTTAAAAAGATTTCAATTTTCGATTTCAAACTTCTTGTTCTTCTTGTTGTCAATGTAGATTTGCAAAACGAAAATTTTCCATTTTTTTCTTCTTCTTTGCATGTTTTAATTTTTGTTTTTGGTAATTCTGTGGATTTTGTTTAAACACAAAATTTTTAAATTAATTTAAAATTGTTGTTTGGGTTAAATAAAATTAATTCGCAATTGTTTCAATTTCTTATCTTCCCCACCTTGAAATGGTTTTCCGCACTCTCTGTAGCATCGGATAATCCCACATCTGTGATAATCTCAGATTCCAAACAGAATCTCAAAGATACTGCGGTAACATCGACAAATGCAACGCAAACACCTGCAGCAACGACTACAACCACTGTCACTACCACCACCATACCATTAAGTCTGGGCGGAGGAGGAGGCGGTGGCCTCGGTAATATGGGCGGCGGCGGAGGAGGTGGTAGTAGTTCTTTACATGGTAGCTTAGGTAATACATTGGGTATCGGTGGAGGAGGAGGGGGAGGTAGTAGCAGCTGTGGTGGTGGAGGCGGTGGCCTTACTGTAGGTACCTCATCCCTAAGTACGGGTAATCATTTAGATGTCCCGCAATCGGGTAATCCAAATCTATTGAGCCCAGATATTTTAAGTCAAAGAAGGGGTAAGTCGGAATTTTTTCATAATTAATAAAAAATCTCTCTTCTTGTTTCTCATATATGTCCTCTAATTTTTGTCTTGTTTTGTTTATTTCTTTTTCCAGGGAGCCGCCGCCCATCCATTTTACCTGTGCCTGACATGTTCACCTCTTCCTCATTTAGCATATCCGGCAACGATGATGGCGACGAGGGCGATGAAAGTGATGATGAAATTGATGACGATGTACCATGGCGTTCACCATCCGAGAAAATAGCGTAAGTTGTTGAAAGCTTTCGAAACTTTGTTTCTACTATTGGAATTTTTTGTTGTAATACATCATTTTGTTGGTATATGTCATGATTTATGTAAAACATCTCATTTGTTTTTCTTTGGAAAATATTATTACCATCACCATTACTCCCTCCTGCCATTAGCAGATATGCTACATACACTTTACTAAACAAAATATATAACCACTTAATATAAAGTCGCAAACTTTGTAGCGTATAGGAAATTATATAAAATCTTTAAACAACTGTGTTAAGAAAATTCTTCTGCAAAAATAATAACCTCCCGCTTCAAGTAGCCTGTGAGTAATATATGCTGTTTAGGTTTTAACCGGATTGTAGTTCCAAAATTAACAGAGAATGGTATGAAAAAGCATAACTATCGAAAATGCACTAACACTCACCCAATTAAAAAAGTCGCATCGCATAGAATATTATTGGGTACGGACATACTAGATATATACACAACGTAGTCACCTAATGCCAATAAAATACTTCTTGGTTAGATAAATACGATTAAAAACATAATAAGCCTATATAAATACGGTGGCTATGATATGTTAAAGCTTTACTAGGAAGATAGCCAAAACTCATAAATATATAACTGTAACAAATTCGGTTAAAAATGTGCCCAAAATACCGAATGATGAGGGGTTAACATTACATGAGAGCTACCCTGAAACATGGGTCAAGATTGATCATTTTTGCTAAGGAGATTTTCTACTCCATAAGAGTATAAAATCTAAAAATAAAAAATGGTTAGAAAATGCCGAATAATACGGGTTACGGCTCTATGGGACACAAACTTGGGCCGAATTACCACCCATTTGGTTGAAAAACTTGCACCTTATATAGAGACTATCCTGAAAGGTAAGCTCATATTGATAATTTTCATTGAGAAGATTTTGTACCCAGTGAGAACCGAAAATACAAAATAACAGCTGATTATGTTGAAAAAACGTGCCCAACTGCCTCGAAATACCGAATATATGGGATGGGGCCGAAGGAAATCTACATGGAAAGACATTATATTTGTAAAAAATCCTCAGAGACCTTAAATTTGAAAAATATCTTCGAATGTTTTCTACCTTTTGAAATCTTTTGTCAATTTAATACCCTCAGAAGTCCTCAAGAGGTCCTCATGGTACCTTAAGAGATCTGATACTAAAATACAAGACCCTCTGAGGTCTTCTATTAATAAAAGGCACCCATAGGAATCCTTATTTGTAAATAATATCCTCAGAGGCCTTCAAATTGTAGAAGACCCTCAGATTTTTTCTATTTTCTGAAGACCATCAGAAGTTTGCTATTAATATTGGACCCTCAGAAGTTTTTTACATATTGCAGGATCATCAGAGGTATAAAATTTTTAAAAGATCCTCAGTGGTCTCATTCTTATAGAAAGCCTTCCATTTATAGAAGATCCTCTGAGGTAATATGTTTATGGAAAACCATTGGATGTCTTAAGACCCTAAGAAGGCCTCTAGAAAACCATTAAAGGTCTTATTCTGTATGTACAAGATATTTTAAGATCCAATTTCTTCTGTCTATTAAATAAAGAGGTATTATTCCTCAGGCATACTATTTTTATAGAAGACCTTCTGAGAACGTTTTTTATAGAAGATACTCTGAGTTAATCTATTTATAGAAGACCCTCAGAGATATGAGAGTTTTACAATAAACTCAAAGGTCCGCTATTTATAAAAGAATTGGAAGAACCTCAGAAGACCTGGAGAAAACTATCGGAGGTCTTCTCTTTTATGGAGACCACAAAAAGTATTCCTTAAATACAGTGCCTTTATAGACTATGTTCTGCAGTGCTCCATTAAATACCTTCAGAAGTCTTCTATTTAAAGAAGATCCACAGGGTCTTATTTTTAAAGAAGACCTTCTGAGGTATTATTTTGTTTATAGAAGATCATCTAAAGTCTTCTGTTTTTTGAAAAAAAACTCATAGGTCAGCTATTTATAAAAGAATCCCGGATGAGCCTCAAAAGACGTCTAGAAATCCTTTTTAAGATCTACTGTCTGTGGAATAGTTATTGAGATCTCCTGTCCATGGAAGACGTCATAACACCTTCAGTGCTGACTTTTCGAAATCTTCTGCATACAGAATACATAATATTCGTCGAAAACCCCATTAGGTATATATTCCTGATTAGAATAAATTTGTCCGTTAACCATTTTTGTCAGTATGTTTTTTCCTGTAAAATTACGAGCAATATCGGGATAGATGTTTTATATTGAAAAGGGGATATATCGGTCCATGTTTTAGCATAGCTCAGTGTGGTATTTTGAGGGTTTTAAGTGCATTTCCTTACCTGTAATATGGTATTTCCGGTTCTTGGAGGATGTTATTCATATACCCAGAAAAATTTTGAATATATTCCAATGCCAGGACATAGCATTTTGAAGAGTTTGACCGCATTTTCCGCCGATGTATCTCTAATTTAACATTCACGTACTTGGTGAATAAGAAAAATGTTCAGTGTAGGTCATTGTTTTTTTAATAGCATAGAGTCCTAGCTCCATTTTCCAACTTGGGTGTCTGTAATTTGGTATTTAATTGTCTCAGGTGATAAACAACCTACTAGCAGGTTCTTGAGGTTTTTTTATTAACAATCATGAATGCACACCAAATGGCGGAGGGTATACAAAGTTCAGTCGAATCGAACTAAACGACTTTTTTTAAAGAGGCCGACGACATTTGACGGTCAACTAGGCTGAACTTATGTCCGGAATTCTTGAAGTCTTCTGCCTATAGCTGTTACGAATTTTCCTAAATCTTCTACCTATGAAAAGCCTCCTACAAAAGATCTCTTAAGAAGGCATTCTGTCTACTATAGATCTCTTGACGTTTTCAGGCTACTAATAACTACTTGACCCTTTCAGGCTACAGAAGACCTTTTAAAATCTTCGGGCTAAAGAAGACCTCTTAAAGTCTTCCGTATAATGTGGACATCTTAAAGTCTTCGGTCCTCCGAAGTAGACTTGAAGTCTTCAGTTTCTTCAGTAGACAGAGGGCCTCATAGTGTATTCTATAGGTAATCTGACCACACAGGATTTCCTGATTTCCTCCAGTAGCTATAAAAAAGCTCTGATGGTTAAGAGGAGTATATCCAATAGATGTGAGATTTTTATAAATTTCTGTATAAAATAGAATTTTTTTCTAGTAAAACAAAGTTTTTGGTTTGTTCTTTCAAGCCAAGAAATATTTTAACCAAGAAATATTTTAATTGGCACACACCAACAAAAACATATTAGATTACAATCACAATCCTCTCTATCCAACTACTGCACTTGCAAAATCCATAGTAACCAAGCAGAAAACTAGACAAATGGACAATCAATTTGGATATTTGATATTTTTTATTCAGAAATAAGTAACTCTACCTTCTATTACTGGTCAATTCCGTTCGTTGTCGTGGTGAATGAGGGAGTTCATCTCATCGGAGACTTTCTTTTTTTCTACTTATAATTCATCATTGTCTCAGTTTATTTTCGTTTCGTTTTGTTATTTTTTTCTTTTCACATTCCCCCCGAATATGAGTTATGTATTCCCACCTACGTTCCGTTCGTTCGTACGTTTTGTGTGTATTGTTGTGTTGAATTGTTGTTGCTGATGTTATCCGAAACGAAAGATCCAAATGTGTCCCTCTTCTATGTTAATGTGTTTGATGTTCATTTTCACATCCAACCAACCAATCAACCTAACAACCAACCAACAACAACACCACCAATCCAACAACAAACCAACCAACCAACCCTTTCTCTTATTCCCTCAACCTACGAACTATCTAACGAAACGTAACGATAAAAACAACGCAAAATGAAAAACAAAAAAAAAACCGAAAACTTGCTATAAAATTATGCCATAAAATCGACCGACCAACCACTCTATCGAATCGATTCGAAATAATTTGCAGTTGCTTGGGTGGTCATTTTCCACAATCACGTACCTATTCACTAATTATGAGCTCATCGGAAGATTCCAATCTGCGTGGTGGAGGTGGTGGCTGCTGCAGCAGTGGCAGCAACCAAAATGTCACCCAGGCTGGACAGCATTCGTCCACACCATTCGGCCGCCATTATCAGAAAATGAAAAAGAGCTACAGTTGCGACAGTGATTGTGCCCGTCGCATCATGACAATGCGCCAGCATCTGCAACATCAGCAACAGACCTTCAATGAATCGTGCTGCTGCTGTTCCTCGTGCTGTTGTTGTTCGACAACGAGTATTGCTCCCGCCTCGACCGCAACCACGGCAACATTTACCACAACAAATACACAGCCAACAACAGCTGCTGCTGCAGCCGCTGCGGCTGCTTCAAGTAGTTCAAGTTCAGCTAAAGCGGCACGTCCCATCTGGGCTGTCGACTATTTACGGTAAGTTATCGAAGAACTTTTACGTAAAGTGCGTTGAGAAGGTGAAGAACAACGACTATGTGCCGTGTAGTCATAGTGTGACCACAAAAGGGTTGTGAGTGTGTGTCGGGTGTGCCTGTAGGTGTTTTGTAAAATGGTTTAAGGATTTTTTCCCTGGTTTCCTGAATGTGACTATTTGACAGTTAGTCAATTAGTAACGAACTGTTAAAACCTTGACTCCATTACTACGTTTCACCCATACACGCACACACACATACACACGCACACACGCCCACCTTCACTTAATTGAAGGATTGATATGTTACAAAGATTTACGTAAAAGTTACTTCGATTGTGTTTAATGCTTCAGTTCAGTTGGGCGCTCTCTAATGGTTGCTAAACATTCATCATCATCATCAGCATTTGTTACAATTTTACAGTCAATCGAACATGAATACCCATACACATATGCATACACACATACACACTCATGCAAGCATACATATACTAATGCCAATGACGAAGTTTTATTCAAAGGTCCTCAGAAAATGTTCTTTGAGGAGTTCAGAAAATTGCCAACTGACAGAAGACATCAGGAGGTATATTGTAGGCAGACTTCTTGAG